TTTTCATGTGAAACATAGTGCTCTTGAAATGGTACTTCTAAGGCAACTTGGTTCACAAATTTTGAGAACCATTGCTATACAAAATGATGGAAAAATGCAGAACGATAATAATAATAATCATAATATTAATATCAGAAACGCTAACATGCTTCTTACCAGCCTTTACTGTCTATGCCATTTGTATGTATTAATATGACCATTGTCCTCATWTGTATGACCTTGGTTTTTATGTTATAAATAACTTAAAGGGGGTGGGCTGACGTCACGTCACACCAGCCCACCCAAGAGTAGATTTCAAATTAAAGAATTGAAAGGTGTTATACAAATTCATAAAAATGGCGTACRAACGAGTAACGTCTACATTCCTATAATTGGTGGTCTGGAGCGATGTCACACCAGCTCACCCCCGTTATTTTATTTATAATTTAAAAACCAAGGTCATGTAGATGGAGCAATATGCATACAAATGCAAACAAATGGCATATTAAAGGTTGCATATGAAAAACCATCAATTTTACATATGGGGTGAACTGGTGAGATGTACGAAGAACGCTGTTCATTAAACCACATTTGGCCACCTTAAACGTTTTTATGGTTATTATGTTTAATCAATCGCTAAGTATTTATTTATTTTTAAATCTCTTTTATCAGTGTGTACTGTTTCTCTGTTGTAGTAAGCCCATGTCGGGCATGTATACATACTTGGTATCCCAATGACAATGCTTTAAGTACTAGGCTATTGAGTATTGATTGGAATTTACTTTTATTACCTTTCACAAGTACCAATATAAGTATATAACATTGAGTATTTTTTGACATTTACTTTTATTACCTATTTTAGTTCTGACGGCTAGTTGAATTACACTATAGTTTTCAGGACTGGATATGATCGGATTTGACAGGATTTCAATTTTAAGACCACTTAACCCGAGACTTCGGACTTTAGAGTGCTGACATTAAAAAATAAACTGCTTTTGTTTTTTTATTATATACCTACAAAATAAAATAAAAATGGGGTAAATTATAATTGGCCCAAAAGCTTAGGAATATATAACTACATGCGCAAATAGTATTAGTAATTATTGCTTTATTTTGTTAATAAAAAAAAAAAATATTAGTAATTAGTGTATTACATTCTATGTATTTTTATACTTTAAGATATTAACTTAACGTTTATAATATTTGAGCATAAAATTATTAAACAAGGAAAGCGCATGGCTTTTGATRAATTGTTTTTTAGTTAAAATTGCTGATCGTCATTAATAAAAATCAWTAGAATAATATAATAACAATAAATATAGCTTGTCTTATACTACTATCATTCCCGGATATTATTATACATTCATATTATGGACGAAACATTTTATTGTATTAAGTAACGATTTAGAAGAATGAATATACATTTGTTTAAAATATAAATTTAAATTTATTCTTAAATATAGGTACGATTTTGTCCATCACATACTCAAGTGCCAAGCAGAAGTACAACTACATTCTGATGACAAGACGTGTTCCTGTAAATCGTCATGAACAACGTGAATTGGTTGAATCCCTCACTCTACCAGATTATAGGAGAGGTGAAGCTTGAAATTTAAACAGGCAAAACTTATATGCCGGAGCTGAAAATTCATCTTAAAGTCAAACTGCTTTAAACCATACGCTTCGCTGTATATCGAAATAACTGA